GCTGCCCGGCCAGCGCGGCCGCCTGAACTCTCGCCCCAGGCAGCCGGCGACCCCGGCCTCACCCTTGCCCCGGAGGCCGTCGGCCCGCGCGGCCACCCTCCGCGCATGCGCGCTTCCTTCCCCTCCTTCGGCTCGGACAGTCGGTTTTCCCTTCTCCTCAGGCTGCCCTCCCTGCGGCTGCTTCCTTCTCTTGCCGCTGCTCGGGCCGGTCGCACCTAACGCCAGCCCCGAGGTCCGGCACGGAAAGTCCCAGCGAAGCAGCGGCCATCTTGTGACCCGGCCAGAGCGACCCAGCGGCTGCTTTGTGGAGGCATGACCCGCGGTCACCCTGGGGCCACCGTGCAGAGAGCCCTTGCCTTCCAGACCTTGCCCGCGGAGGCCGCCTTCCCTTTCCTCCGGGCCTGCCACCCACGGCCTCTCGGAGTCATCAGTTTAACCGCGCGCCCCATTCACCACACCATCCAAGCCCGAGTCAAGTTTTCACGTTTGTCGAGGGCACATAGGACAGTAAGAAGGATGATCGCCCCCATCCTCGTTCCAGTCCTAGAGTTGGGGGGCACCAGTTCCCGAGTGGGGTGGACAAGACCCTCGGCTGGGCCCCGCCGCCTCCTCTCGTCCACAGGAAAGGGGAGGGCAGCCGCTCTGGGGAGCCCCTGGGCCAGACCTGCTCAGAAAGGAACTGACCTCCTAGGCCCCGCCTGTCATCTGCCCGGCTAGAAGCAGCCTCTTCCCCTCTGATGCAGTGACACGGTGCCTGCTTACTGTGGAGCACGTCGGGCGAGTCTGGAGTCTTAATCTGGCTCATCTGTACGTTAAAAACTGACTTGTTTCTCTCCTTAAATTGGAAGCCTAGAATACAAGCTATCTTACTACGACTGTCTTCCCTCACCGAGTCTTGTGCCTGGCAGTCAAAAGTATTTTGGCAATGATAATGGAATATTGAAACTGAGATCCAAGGAAGTATAGGGAAATTATAGGCAAACCAGTCTTAACAGTTACTGCCGTGGCCAATAAGAATTCATATGTGGCTATGTACATTTAAGTTAAATTAAATTAAAAATTTAAATATTCATTTCCTCAAGTGCACTAGCCACATTTCAAGTGCTCAATGACTACCTGTGGCTAGTGGCTACCTTACTGGACAGGGTAGAATAGGACATTTCTATCATAGCAGAAAGTTCTATGGGACAGCTCATACCTACAAGATTATAGAGATTAAGCCTAAATCTTCATTAACATAGATTTATGTATTGGGAGGAGGTCTGGAGATATACACTGAAGTCGGGCCTTGAATTATGCCTTGGAGTTTTGACCAGAGGCCATTCATAGCAACCCCTGCAGGCAGGAGCACTTTAGGAGCTGAATAGAATTTGGTTCTGTTTTCTTAGGCCTTGATTTCAGCCTTCCACCCAAGAGTTCAGATATCCTGAGGAAGTTTTTTTATTTAAAAAGTATTAAGAGCTCCACACTTCTATCAAACAGAGCAGATCTCTAAAGGTCAGAAATAAATGGGTCCTTGCGTCACAGTAGATGCTAAAATTCATCTGGAAGAACATAAACAGGATAGCTGAAAAAAAAAAGTTTAAGAAAATACTGTAAACCAATGTGAAGAGATGGATTACTCAATAATAGTAGTGGAAAAATTAGCCAACTATTTGGATCTCAAGTGGGAGCCACTCCATAACATTAATATAAAGTAAACCTGGTTTAAAGAGTTGTGTGTAAAAAATAAAAGGGAAAACAATCTAGAAGAAAATGAAGAAGTTATCCTTCTTGGATAATTGTGGTAATTTTATTTTATTATTATTATTATTATTTTTTTTTTTGGTGAGGGAGATCAGCCCTGAGCTAACGTCTGTGCTAATCCTTCGCTTTTTCCTGAGGAAGGCCGGCTCTGAGCTAACATCTATTGCCAATCCTCCTCTTTTTTTTTTTCTTTCCCAAAGCCCCAGTAGATAGTTGTATGTCATAGCTGCCCATCCTTCTAGTTGCTGTATGTGGGACGTGGCCTCAGCATGGCCGGAGAAGCGGTGCGTCGGTGCGTGCCCGGGATCCAAACCCAGGCCACCAGTAGCAGAGCGCGCGCACTTAACCGCTAAGCCACGGGGCGGCCGTAATTGTGCTAATTTTAGAGCTAATAGATGCTGACAGCCCTTCCCTTCATGTGTGCATTTATCAGATCAAAACCAACTCAATGAATTCAGGTAAGGACTTTCTTCTTTTTTTAATTATTTATTTATTTATTTTTGCCCCCAAAGCCCCAGCAGATAGTTGCATGTCATAGTTGCACAGCCCTCTAGTTGCTGTATGTGGGACGCGGCCTCAGCATGGCCGGACAAGCGGTGCGACGGTGCGCGCCCGGGATCCGAACCCCGGGCCGCCAGCAGCAGAGCGGGAGCACTTAACCGCTAAGCCACGGGGCCAGCCCCAGGTAAGGACTTTCTAACCACAAAAGTAATGAATCACAAAATTTTGCTATGTTTGACTATTTGAAAAATATGAACAATTAAAAAGGCACAAAACTGGGGAAATATTTGCATCTCATATTATCAGGGTAAAGAACTTTCACTATTTAATAGAAGAGCTCTACAATCCAAGTATGGACAAACACCATGAACAAAGAATTCATGAAAATAAAATGTAAGGCACTAAACACTAAAAAATGTTCAACTTTATTTGTAATAAAAAATGCAAATTAAAATAAGATGCCATTTTTCACATAGCAAATTGGAAAACATTTTTAAAAAGTGACACTGTTGGTAGAATTATAAATTAGTGCAACTTCTTTGGAAAGAGATTTGGAAGTATCAATCAAAGAAGATATATGTATGGCCAGTGAAAAGATTCTCAACACCTTTAGTCATCAGGGAAATGCAAAATAAACCATATCAAGATGCCACTTCGCTAGCCTACTGAATAGCTAAAATTAAAGACTCTCAATACCAAGTGTTGACAAGGATGGGAGCAAATGGAACTCTCCTGAACTGCTGGTGGGAGAGTAAAATGCTACAACTACTTTGGAAAACAGTTTTGAAGTTTCTTATAAAGTTAAATATGCACCTACTCTATGACCCAGTAATTCTACTCTTAGGTATTTTACCCAACAGCAATAATTATCCAAAAAATGGAATATTACTCACCTAATAAAAGAAGTAATTATTGATACATGCAACAATGTGGATGGATCTCAAAAACATGTTGAGCAAGAGAAGCAAGACACAAAATAGTATATACTATATGATTTCATTTGCATAGGAAAACGGGTAAATGAAGTATGATACTGGATGAAACATTATGCATTATGAAAAATCATGATATTTTAGAATAGAACGATATTTAATATGAGAAAAGCCTCAGGAGATAGCGAAAAGTGAAAAAGCTAGAATATAACCACATGCAGTATGGATCCTGTTTTGTTAACAATCAAGCAAATGTATGCATAAAAGACTAGAAGGAAATATTAACATATTCATTCGTTCAATAAATGTTAATTAGGTGCCAACTGTGCCAGGCACTCTGCTAGTTGATAGGGGTGCGGTGGTGAGCTAAAATCCACACAGTTCATACCCTCACAGAGCATTATCTGATGAGGAAAACAATGTTAACAATAGCCATCTCTTGGTGGTGTGATTAAGAGTGACTTATAAACAACAAACAATTTTCTATATTTTTCCAATTTTCTGTGGTAAGAAATTATTATTTTATAACTAGTTGAAAATAAAGAAAAGTGCTCTTTTCTTGCAAAAGCTTATTGTCCAAGCCTAATTCCAGTAGTATTAAATATTCATTTAGGGAACTTTCTGACTGATTTCTCTGATCCAAAGAAAACATTTAGAACCACTCATGAAAATATAAAATAAGAAAACTCTAATTAAGCTCCCTTCCCAAACAATTTTTTCTTTAATGAGTAACACTTAGCTTTATTGGTGGTGGTGGTATTTTCAGTCATCACATCAACAGTTCCCAGTGACTGTTGGAGAATTCTGTTTCATTCAGCTTGTATACCTTTCCACCTGGCCAGGGTCAGTATTTTTATTTAATTGGTGAATTTGATTCTCTTTCCTTTTAGTTTCTGCATGTCAGAATTGAGTAAATATTTGAAATTACCAAGATTCACGTTTAATTGGCATTTGTACTGATTTCTTCAAATCTAGGTTTCCATCTCGCAGGGCTTGTGAGACTTGGTATATTTCCTTATGAAACTCCCTAAGCACTTCATAAACCTTAATTAATGACCAGCTCCTCTGAGAAATAATTATGAATGCTCTTAATTTAACAGAAGCAAAGGGAATCCTAGTTTCCATTGTTGTGGAAAGTAACCTGGCTTCAGTTTCTATTTGTATGAAGCCATTAAATATTAAATTTCTGTGTTAAATGCAGACAAGAGAACTGTAGAATATTTTAAAACTAGGGTAAAATGAGCATTCCTAAAATAGCTACACAGAACAAAAGGTAATTTACAGTGTATAATCTCTCATTTTATATGAAAAGCACTACATAAATGTGTTTATTAGTAATACATATTGTATGGACATCATATGCTATACTGTATTTTTTCATATCTTCCTATAAGTGCATTTAATTTTGATTAAATTACCTTGGTGTGGATCCGGCCTCCCCCCCAGTCTTGAGGTCTAAAAAAGTTAGTGAATTCAGATATAAAAATGTATTTTTTGTAATTGGAAAAACAGCCCAAAGCAACATCCTACCAATAATAGCCTGATATCAAATTAATAATCTCTTTGGAACTTGTAAGTAAAAAATGCTAATGAAGTTCTGCTGACTGGTAAATATATATTTACAGATTGATCTTCAGGCCATTTTTGGGGCAGTGTGCAAACCTCTTAACG